AGTGATTCTCAACGTGTCCCTAAAATATATATATATATATATATATATATATATATATATGAAAATATATATATAATATAAGGAACTGGTTAGGTAAATTTATAGAAAATGGAAAGGAACTTTAACTCAATTTAATTTAAATAATTATATTGAAGATGGAACCAGAGCTTTATGTTTTTGGAATCATATTTTTAAATAAATAATTATATATATATATATATATATATTTATATATATATTTATATATATATATTTTATAAATATATATAATTATATATATATATATTATATATATATATATATATATATATATATATATTATATATATATATATATATATATATATTTTAAGTATAAATTTCCGTTCTGTTTTCATTTTCTTTTTAGAACTTTACTGTTGTTTATTGTATTCTGAGCATCCTTCTGTAGAACCACATTGCTGTTGCTTCAAGTCTCTTCTTCATCTTTGAGCATTCACTGCCATATAGAAGGACAGATATCGCATAACAGTTCATTACCCTTTTGTTTATAACAAAATTTTCCTGTTTGACAGATTTAAAAGAACAATTTCAGACTAGTTTCCTTCTGCATCAGTTTAAACTGACACCTTATTGAAATTCCTGACCATTAACAATCCCTTTCTTTTCGATTTTCAATGCATTTCTAAAGTCACACCGAAATTTATCACATGGTTCATTAGTACACATTGTTATAAAAAAATGCAAGTATACAAAATTCAATGTAGAAAGCATTTTGCTGTAAAAAGGTTTTGTTTGTAACTCTTTTTCATCAGACTTTAAATAGGACTGATTACATGACAGGCAATTCTTACTATTGCAACTTCTGGAGAGAGAGAGGGGGGGTATAAGGAAGAGAGAGAGGGGGGTATAAGGAAGAGAGAGAGGGGGGAGTGTATAAGGAAGGAAGAGAGAGAGAGAGAGGGGGGGAGTGTATAAGAGAGAGAGAGAGAGAGAGAGAGAGAGAGACGCATCAATTTTATCTTTGCCAATGTGAGGACAAAAGCCTCCAAACTGTAAAAATAATGGCAATTAAGTAAAAGCTGTGGTGCCAATTGTGACCAGTTTTCTTGTGTTCCTCTTTTCATCTTTTTGTTTCTGCCAAACAAAAAGATTGAACAATCCCAGAGAATCCAAATTAACAGGAATGGAAAACTTGTGAAGGACATACACAAATGGGGGGAAAAAGAAAAAAAAAGTAAAGCTGTGAATAATTTGTGATTGAAAAAAGGATTTCCTTAACATAATTTATTTAAGGGCAAAAATGTATGATAATTAAGGTTAGAAGAAGAGAGGGTGATAGGGTGAAAGGAAGATTAAAAGATGAAGGAGGGAAGAGGGAGAGAGAGAAAGAAAGTGTGAGAAGGGGAGGGAGGATGAAAGAGTTAAGTTGCCAAAAAAGAAGAGAAAAGACGCAAGGGTAAAAAAAAAAAAGAGCAGAGCCAAATAAAGGGGTGAAGGAGAAAGAGTAGAGACGGCAGGGATGGATGGGCTAATGAGGTGGAGGAGAAAAAGAGAGGCAGATAAAGATGAAAAGAATAGTTGGGGTAAAGGAAGTAGAAGAGGGAGAAAAGAAGAGAGAAAAGATGAGAGAAAAGATGAGAGAAGAGAGAAAAGAGGAGAGAGAAGAGGAGAGAGAAGAGGAGAGAGAAGAGGAGAGAGAAGAGGAGAGAGAGGAGAGAAGAGGAGAGGAGAGAAGAGGAGAGAGGAGAAAGAGGGAGAGAGGAGAGAAAAGGAGAGGAGAGAGGAGAAAGAGAAGAGGAGAGAAGAGGAGAGAGGGAGGAGAAAAGGAGAGAGGAGGGAGAAAAGGAGAGAGGAGGGAGAAAAGGAGAGAGGAGGGGAAAGAGAGAGAGGAGGGAGAAAAAGAGAGGAGAGGGGGAGAAAAAAGAGAGGAGGGAGAAAAGGAGAGTAGGGGAGAAAAGGAGAGAAAAGAGTAGAGAGAGAAAAGGAGAGAAAAGAGTAGGGGGAGAAGAGGAGAGAAAAGAGTAGGGGGAGAAGAGGAGAGAAAAGAGTAGGGGGAGAAGAAGAGAGAAAAGAGAAGAGGGAGAAGAGAAGAGAGAAGAAGGAGAAAAGAAGAGAGAAGAAGGAGAAGAGAAGAAGGAGAAGAGAAGAAGGAAAAGGTGAAGAAGGAGAGAAGAAAGAGAAGGAGAAGAGAAGAAAGAGAAGGAGAAGAGAAGAAAGAGAAGAAGAAGAGAAGAAAGAGAAGAAGAAGAGAAGAAAGAGAAGGAGAAGAGAAAAGGTCAAAAACGAGGAAGTGGAAGAAAAGACAACAGAAGGGAAGGATTTAAATGAAACATTTTTTGCCAACAAGAATTCTAAAAATGGCAAAGCTGTTTTCAAGAAAGTGCGAAACCGTCAAATTGATTTTAATTGAAGAATATGAAAATAACAAAATGTCTGACAAATTCATGAATTAGCGAACAATAAATCAGTCATTTGTCAAGGAAGGAACATTTTAAATTAAAAAAGAATTAACAACAAAAAATTCAAAAGGAATATTTTTTCTCAGCTTTTCCCATACTTTTTTTTGTAGATTTCTTGAAGCCATTTTTAAACAGGCCTTTCTCTCTTAAAACTAAGATTATATAAATATATTTAATGTCTACAGAAACACGTGTACCTACTTAAGATAATTTCAGATTATAAATAAAATCCTGAGAAATCAGTGTGTTTACATTTCAGATATAAAATGAAAAATTAGCAGATCTGGTCATTGAAATATCCCAAAAACAAATGCACATTTCTAAAATAGGATAACTGAACCTCCCTCGGATGTGAAGACTTTCCATGGCTGAGCAAAGTAAAGTGCACATTGAAGTCAACATCTAATAGTTACGTTGTTTCAGACTGCTTCACACCTGACAATTGTATATAAACATGGAACAAACTGTCACCACTGTGTGCTTACTTCGATGTCCACTTTTATATTTACATACACTTCATCCCTGATATTGAGTACTTTAACCCATAAACATACCATATATATATATATATATTATATATATATATATATATATATATATATATACCCAACCCAAGTATATAATTGGTGTATACGGAATGAATTCCAATAACCAACAATTACTATTCTTAAAAGAGTGCTCAATACAGAGTAGAGCAGATATAATTATTCATTTAAAAAAATTATAACATAAATATGTTATAAAATCACTACAAAAATAGCCATTTTGTTTCAACACCCCCGGTGTCTTATCAAGTGATGATGTTGAATGTAAAATAAATGGTTTTAAAAGTTTCAAATTAATTAACGATCCTTCGCAAGGGGAAAAACGTTGTTACAAAAGCTAGAATGACCAATCAAAATACAAGTATAGAAAAATTCAAAAAGCTTGACAACGAAGTCATGTTATAATAGCTATTCAGATCTTTAAAATACAGGTAATATTAAAAAGGAATTTATTCTAACCAATAATTATTAAATTATATGATAAAAATTTGGTATTAAAATTAAAAATTGCCAATTTTAAAATCCAAATTTAATCACTATAGGTGTTGAAACAAAATGACTATTTTGTAGTGATTTTATAACATATTTATGTTAAATTTTTTTTTTTATATATATATATATATATATATATATATATATATATATATATATATATATATATATATATATATATATAAAACATATTTTAAATCAATTAATTTATAATATTAATGCTCTGTAAATTTACATTCAGCACTATTTTGTAAAAATAAAAATATCTATAAGAACACGGATTATATATCTTACTGTTCTTTCTTTTTATTTATATACATATATATATATCAATTAGGAGATCAGCCAATTCCACTACTTTAGTTTCCACTTTTCGGTATCTTGTTAATCATTGTTACCTGAAGAGACGTCTTATTTAAATGTCAAAACAAAATGTAGAATTTTGTAGTAATTACTTACATGTTCTAATGTAACAGTATGCACATATATATATATATATATATGGAAAAATTAGTTTATTAGAATTGCTTTTATTGATAGGGACAAAGGATAGGAACAAATTAGTTTAATATTCAGTAAGTACCAAATAACCAACAGACCATAAAACAAGGAAATATTACATCAATATAAAGTAATTTCTCATAGATTAATTGTTATTGCTAAGTGAATTGATGAGCCAATCTTAATGCCCTTGAGAAAAGCATAAATGCTTCAAAACTTTGAATTTGAAGGCCCTAGGGAAGATAATAGGGGACTACTATGATTCCCAAGAAGTCATGGCAATTCCCAGGTAATAAAGAAACAGAAGATGTGGAGAGGCATTAATCAAATGTGTCCTGAAGACAAATGATATTTAAAAAAAAAATGTCCAGTTATTTTATTTTTAAAGCAAGATATAATACATTAGAAAAAAAAAAAATTTTGAAACTCTTTGTGACTTTATGGCCCTCTGTGCTTTCATGTTTTTCTGGTTCTCCATTTGTTGCTATTCTTCTTCCATTTCTTTAAATTGTTTGTTGCCTTTTTCTCTTTTTTTTTCTTCCTTAATATAATTCACTCTCTACTTCTCCCCCGACTCTTTCTTCTGTATCATTTATTGCTTTTTTCTTTCTTTCTCTGAACCCTTTTTCCTATATCCACCTTTCTTTGCTTTTCCGTTCCCTTTCCATTCCTCCACGATCCCCCATGCACAGACAAACCTCTCCTAATCCAACCACTTCCATCTCCAGATTCTGCACTCAAGATGTCTACAGTGATTACAGCTATTTAGACAGCCAGGTGAAATTTGGTTTTAACACCTGAATTCGGGGCGTCTCGACTCAATTTAGCACAAAGCAGGAATCATCTCGTGTGAACACACAACCATGAAAAGAAAAGAGTTTATGGAGAAGGGGAAAGAGGGATGCGATTTCCTGATTGAAAACAAGAAATAACCAACAGCCAAAAATAAAGTATGGAAAAAGAAAAACGAAAAAAAAAGAAGCAAACATAATTAAAGATGGCGGTAGAGATTGTTGGTTAGGTTAGCTGTGGTATCGGTGGTTGCAACAATTGAGCCATGATAGTGGGCGGGAGTAGACCGCGAATGAGAGGGGGACAGTGCTGGGGAGTAGGACAAAATATAATGATGGGGGCAGAGTGGGGAAAGAGAGTGAAAAAGAAAGAAAAGAAAATGCATCAGGGGTATAGCAGAAAAGAGAGCAAAAAAAAGAAAAAGTGTAGGTGTCAGACAGAGAGAGCAGAAAAGGGTGCAAATCTGGAAAGGGAGCAAAAAATAAAAATTAAAAATAAAAAAAGCAAGAGGTGGGTGCAAAGCTGGAAAAGAAGGGTAAAAAAAATCATTGCGAGGTGCAAAGCTGGAGTGGGAGCAAAAAAAACATCAGGGGTTGCCATGCCAGAAAGGGAGCAAAATGGCATCCGGGGTTCTAATGCCAGAAAGGTAGCTAAAAAAGGTATTGTGGGTGTAAAGATGAAAATGGAGCAAAAAAAGGTATTGTGGGTGCAAAGCAGAAAAGGGAGTGAAAAAAGGCATTGTTACTTAATTTAGTATTGAGAAAAGACCCTACAAACGGTGAAGCCCTAGGAAGGAGCTGAGAATCCTTCTTGAATAAGAAGCTGTAACCACAGAATATGATTTAATAATGAGCACCAGCAACATGCAGAAAACATAAAACATGTATTTAGAAAATAGAAACCCATTATACACAAATAAAATTACTAGCTGCCAAAATGTATTTTGATCCTCTTTTAAGACACCTAAAATCTTGGCATTGACTGCTGAGAATGATAGATTTTTCTACTCTACCTGTGTCGGAAAAAAATAATTCACATGTTCAAATGATAAAGCAATGGCTGAATTTTCAATGGATGCCCAGTTGTGGATTTATAACAGCCTTTAGTAAAATATTTCTCAAAATCATCAACTGAATTTACTATTCTAAATACAAATTCTAAGATACCCACTTTCAAGTGAGAAAATGTCTGTTTGTGTCAAGGCATATTTGTAATTTCAGGAATCATTTCACTAATGTGTGTTTTTTTTTCCATAGTGTTTTTATATCATGTTGGGTGCAAAATAACCACACACAGGTGTATGGATGATAGAGGGTTAGACTTTCATAGAATTGTCTATTTATTGCATACAATGGAAAAAGAACTGAATGAGAAAAATACAAAAAAAAATAAAATAAAATCAATTGTCTTAGCAATAAGCTAAATTGTTTGGTTTGGCATACCATTTATTATCCTAAGTTTATTGCACCAACTGCATCTAATTACACTTTCCATGTTCTCTTGTTCGTACACATGATATGACATAATGGACCTCGCTAACCTCCTCATCGCATATCAATAACACGAGTCATCTAATGATAACTCACAATTTGTCGATGGGAAAACAACGGTAGTTTTATTTTTAGAAATTCTATAATCTTACATCTTTAGAGTAAGTTATATTTTTAATTTCAGCAATCGTTTTGGTAAAACATTTTTGTACTTTTATCTGTCGTAGCTTACAGCCAGATCATGTTTAAATACAGGTTTTCATATGATCACTGAAGGAACATTGAGCAGGGTCATTACATAAATGAAGGACCACTTAGGAATACCAGGGGGTGAGGGTGTTATGGTTAGTTTAGAAGTAGGGGTTATGTCTATAATATAAACACAGTTGCAAATTGATCCCCGACTTCTTAAAGTGTTATCTGTATTCTGCTTTTATTTACAAATTGGGAAAAAAAAAAGGATATAATTATTTGTTAATTATTTTCTCATAGAAAACGATAAACATTTCAGCAATTTATTAATCCCTTCTTCAACATGATCCTCATTATGGAATGAAACAAATAATAGACAGGCTGCAGAGCTTACCAACCCTTTGCAGGTTATTTAAAGCCAGAAAATGGTTTTAGTAATATAAGTCTTACTAACACATACAGGTGGTGTAATTGTGAGTTTAGAAGTAGGGGAGCTGTTTATAATATAAACACAGTGTCAAATTGATACCCGATTTCTTAAAGTGTATTTACATTATTTGAACTGTGATCCTCATGTTATTTGCCATATTTACAACGTTTTGGCTGTTGTACGATCCTTTTTCGGGTGATTGTAATTTCGACCCAAACCCTTTCTTTTGTCCACCAAAATGTGAATATGGCAATAAAGATGAGGATAACAGTTCAAATAATGTAAATAATCATAATACCTCATCTCAAAGATATAGACAGATATTTTTAAAGTGTTATCAGGGAAAAGGATAAATGTTGTAACAATTTATGAATCACTTAATTGACATATTTGTGTTGAAAATATTTATTTCATATTAAAAAAACAGTGTTTCCTTCCTTCTTGGTACGATCGTCATTATGGCAAAGAACAAATAAGAGAAGGACTTGCAGAGCCTCTGGAACTTGCAAGAGTTCGGTGGGCACCATTTTGGGAATTGATTGGATTATTTTTCTCCAGATATAACCTATTGCAGGTTATTTAAAGCCAGAAAATATTTTTAGATTGTAAGAATATATTTTTTTTCTTTTTTTGAGGGGAGATAATGATTTAGTGATACAAGTCTTACTAATTAACTTATACAGTGTAACCCGGATATAAGAGAGTTGTTGGGACCGGAGAAGAAGTCTCTTATATCCGGGTTTCTCTTATATCCGGGTTTGGTCTATTTTAAATACATTAACACAGGCTCTAATTTGGGACCAGAGAAAATCTCTCTTATATCCGGGTTTCTCTTATATCCGGGTTTGGTCTATTTTATATACATTAACACAGGCTTTAATTTGGGACCAGAGAAAATCTCTTATATCCGGATCTCTTAGATCCGGGTTACACTGTAGTTTGGAAAAGCGTTGGATTCATACCTTTCCCAAGGATATTTGCATATAATTTAATATAACGAACCTGAGGAAAATTGGATCTCTGATTAACAATTCCGAGCCATTTCACCACCTGCATATTCAAGCTTACAGCACCTGGTATTCCAAAGCGATCACCCATCTAGCAACTGACCAGGCTCTACATTGTTTAACTTTGCTGATCACATGGGAAACCAGTGTTTCAACATGATGTGGTCATAATCATCGCTTGGGGAAAACCTGTTGTGTATTATCTTCAGATGTGTACATGAAATAAGCTTTAAAGTGTAAAGGTCTGTAAAAACCGAAAACCTCACTATCCAGTTTTGATAAAGTTCAATAGGGTCTCTGAGTCCTTTTGGGAGAAGAATTATTTTCTACCTTCCAACCTCTCTCTCACAGGTGGAATGTGGTGGGCCTCTCACTACTCTATCACTATGGGAAGTTCTCAGACAGACCATCTCTTGGTTCCACCCTGTCAGATTTTCATGGCTAGGACCCGCCATGCCACTTGTATTGTAACAAACCACCCACATTCCTTCCATATTCCATCGGTGAGATGTAAGTTCCACTCAAGCAACAACTTCCTGTGAACTACTGCCCTAGAGAACAGACTCCCTAGAGTATGTTTCCCCAACCACTACTTGTTCAAATCTAGAGTTAACCATTATCTTCTCCTTCTATCGATATAGACTACACCTTATTCATCAACCTCAAACCTTGAGTGATCCTGCGGGCCTTGTACAGGATGAATCTTACTGTAAAAAAAAAAAAAAAAATAAAAAAATAAAAAAATGTTAAATCTGTTTATATTTCTGATATAGTATTGTAACTGTTTACACTATTAAGATTGTTCAGACAGTTGTCCTCATCTTTATTGGCCCAATGGATAAACCATCTTGGGTATGATGATAAACTACATCTGCATCCTGGGTAAGACAAACCACAACCAACAGCAAGGCCTCTGATCAGGTTTTCAGGAGCGTGGCACCACCTCTTAATTGCTGGTGTTCCCAGGTCCACCCTGAGCCAGGATGGTAGCACCTGTTAGGGTCCCAGCTATGGGCAAATAGTTAATCCCCAAACTGGGGTCAAAAAATTATGATAGTGTAAAAATAGGTTTTAATACCAGCAATACATTTTTGTAAATAAAATTATTCCCAGCAATACATTTTTGAAGAAAAAATATTACCAGCAATAGATTTTTGGAAAAAGAAATTAGCAGCAATACATTTTTGAAAAAAATATTACAAGCAATAAAAAATCTTGTCGGCATTAGATAACCCATTTAGGTGTTGATATGCCATAAAACAAACCAAACCAAAACCAGTGGATAAAAGTGTTGGTTGAAGTAATCCAGTGACTTGACCCAAAGAGTTGTGAGGTCAATACCTGGCCATAGCAAAGGTGAACAAAACTTTGGAGAGCTGAGTTACTAGAAGAGAAATAACTGAAAAGGCATGGCATGTGGAACTAGAACAATCTACCCCAGTGGACAAAATAAAGAGTTCAGTTTGAAATTCCAATATATATTACCTGAAGAAGACAAGAGTGTACAATGGTCGAAATGTTGTGAATATGACAATAAAGATGAAGACAACTGTTCAAATGATGTAATTAGCGTAAATACTTTTGTTAACACTCAATATGTTAACACTCTGGAACAAGAACAGAGAAATAAATGATATGGGGAGGGGGGGTCAGAACGAAAGAAATCATCAGCTAGCGGTTGGTCATTATCTTTATTAGAACTCAGAGATTCAGACAATCACTCATGCACTCCCATCCGCACTTCGTTCTGCTTGTCCCCCTCCCCCAACTCCAAGTAGACATATCTTTCATTTCCACCCCTCTTCAGTCAATGCTGGCTGCCATTTCAGGATGGTAAATGTGGGGCTGTGTTGGAGGTGTGTGCAGACTGGTTTACTAGAACTAGTTATCACTTTAGCAAAAGTGGTGCATTAATAATGGATATTGTAGTTAACAGGAGAATATGGATGTGCGTGATGGATACAGGGTGAAGGTTAGGGTTGATTGGAAGCAAAGTCGGATAACATCAAGAGCGTAATCAAATCTGATTAAGACGACAAAGAACGAGAAAGAACAAATGGCAATAATGGCAGTTTCCTTATATGCAAATATTCGGCAGTCATTGACCAAGCAGCCAGTGAAACTCATGTTATGCTTTTCTTCCATCCATGTCTATCAGGCTGTGAGCAAAGCGTAGTACCTGTTCTCATTTCTAATGGTAATGATAATAGCTGTTTTCTTATAAGGAAATATTCAGCAGTCAATGACCAAGCAGCCAGTGAAACTCATGTCATGCTTTTCTTCCCTCTATGTCTATCAAGTTGGGAGCAAAGCGTAGTACCTGTTCTCATTTCTAATGGTAATGATAATAGCTGTTTTCTTATAAGGAAATATTCAGCAGTCAATGACCAAGCAGCCAGTGAAACTCATGTTATGCTTTTCTTCCCTCCATGTCTATCAGGCTGGGAGCAAAGCGTAGTACCTGTTCTAATTTCTAATGGTAATGATAATAGCTGTTTTCTTATAAGGAAATATTCAGCAGTCAATGACCAAGCAGCCAGTGAAACTCTAAACAGTACAACCTTGGTTCTTGAACGGCTCGCATGTCGAACAAATCGGTTTTCGAACAAAAGATTTCAGATCAAATTGTCTCGCTTATCAAACAAAATTTTGGTTCTTGAACAGCATTTCTAAACTGAGTTAACCCAAATGGAATAATTTCTGAGTCAAACCCTGTGTTGTATACATTTGTGTGTTGTGCTTTTTGTTTCCAATACTATTGTATTGTAGCTTTTTTTTCTCTACATTGATTTGTATTAGAAAAATAGCTTCAATTTACGAACATTTCAGGTTACGAATGGCCTTCAGGAACAAATTATATTTGTGAACCAAGGTTCCACTGTATGTCATTTTTACTTCCTGGCCATCAGGCTGGAAGCAAAGTGTAGTATCTGTTCTAATTTCTAAAAGGTAATGATAATAGCTGTTTTCTTATAAGGAAACACTCAGTATTCATTTCCCAGTGCAACATGAGTTACACCATCCTTCACTCTCTGGCCATTGAGTTGGAATCAAAGTGCAGTATCTGTTCTCTTCATCTGTAATGTATACCTGGCCACTCATATTTGAGGACACCTGTCTACTAGGGCGGCTAGCCAATCCCTATTGCAGATGCTTGCTCAGGCGCATTTGTCTTTATTCAACACCCACAGAGCCCACCTGTGATTTATACTGCAACTATGCTGAGCAGAGCTTGGTTACAGTTTCTGGGAGAGAGCGTGTTATCTAGCATGATCAACAATTTGAACAAGGCCATCAGACTCAAACCCTCGGTCACGATGACTTGTAACTTCATGCTAGCACAACTATTGACAGCCCCAAGTGTTCTGTCCACCCAATTTCACTCACAAGGCTTGGGTCAACCTGTGGTATGGTTTTCAGGCACTTTCCAAAAGGCGCTGCATGCTGGGATCAACCCCTCTAGTCCGATAACATCAGGAAGTTTCCTTCCTGATAAATCGACCATGGTGAGATTTGAACCTGGGTCTCATGGTCAGAATGCGAATTTTCTAACCACTCGGCCATGTGCCCATGATCATCTGTAATAGTAACCCCAATAACAGCCCTTTCTTTAAAGGGAAAGTTTTGGCATTCATTTACCAAGCAGCCTCTGCTACACGCGTTACTCTTTTCTTCACATACTGGCCATCGGGCTGGAATCAAAGTGTAGTATCTATACTCATTTCTAATGGTCATGGTAATCTTAGCCGTTTCCTTAAGTGGAAATATATGGTATTCATTGACAGAGCAACCAGTACAGTTTTCGGTTGAAATTTATAAAATGTTTCTCTTAAAACAAATTTTCAGGAAAATAGGTTTCTCAAGTCAAGCAGCTGTAATTGCTCTTTCTAGTAGTGATAACGATTTCTTTCTGAAGTTTTTACTTGAGTGGTGTGGAGCGTCAACATCATGATTATGACATTAGTTTCTCTTTGAGTTACATGTGCAATCCTTTGTAGTTGTCGCTGTTGTTGAAAGTCTCCAATTGATGCCGTTTTTGTTATTTGGTACAGTTCTTTGTGATTTTCTAGCATTAGAAAAGAAAATCTAAAAATCACACAAAAAAAAATACACTGCAGATAAAAAATATACTGAACTAAATAATAAAAAAAATGATTATATAAAAAAATCTTGAGGTCATGAACATAAATAAACTATATACAGAAACACACCTTCCAAGGAATGGAGGAACTAATTTTAACTCCAAACTGTCATTCATTTTTGTTGCAAATGAATGGGTAAATAGCATGAGAAACTTGGTCCTAAAGACTTGGGTGGCTATAGAAGGAGGACAGCTGTGAATCCACAACTATATATATATATATTGTTCTTTCAGTAAGAAGCTTTTATCATTATAATCAAAGAATATGTGAGGAGTGACAGAACTAATTTCAGCACGGAACTAATTTCAACTCGATTTTAAATGAAAATTATTAATTTCCATGAATTCCTAAACAAAATGCAATGAGTAGGTGTTAATTTTTTGAATTTAGCATTAAAAATCCTTAGTAGACAAAGATAATTCAGAATTCATCTTTTCTGCAACTTTCATTAATTAGTTCCGAGTTGAAATTAGTTCTGCATCCACTTCCAAGTACCCAGTCAACATAAATAAGCAATCTATGGGTCATGCTTGTAATTAATCCTTGGCATTAATCTTAAAGAAAACAAACAGAAAAGTGCTGGTATCTCCAATTTCTTTTTATCCTTTTGTAACATATATATATGTGTATAACCCACTATATCATCATCATGATGCCTTGGCTTCATAAAACAAAGATTAAGAGGGAGTCTGTTCATGTTGATTGCAGGCATGTTTGTGACTGATAAGTCCGAAGCGGGACAAGCATACTAGGTCCCAGTAGTTGCAGCTGAAAGTTCGGCCTGGGCTCGATGGCAGAGTACTTCCTTGCAGTACTTCCTCCTCAGCCTCTTGTCCCTGAGAGTGGCCCTGCAGGTATTTTCAAAGGTGTCATGGTTCTCAACTTGGGCTGACCACTGGCAATCGTTGATGTGAGAGGCACCAAAGGATTTTTTCAGGCAATCACTTCTTTAGTGCCCCTCTGCCATGATAGCCAATGGAGAACTCGCTGTAGGGTAGAATTTTAGGCAGGTGATGATTCTCCATCCTGGAAAAGTGTCCATCTCAATCTAGCTGGGACTTCAGCAGCATGGCCTCAATGTCGGTGATCTTCGCCTTTTCAAGGACTTCAATATTGGTGACAAAGATCACTCCGGTGGGTGTTAAGGATTGTGTGGAGACAGCGCTGGTGGAACCTTTCGAGGAGTTGTAGCTGGTATCGATAAGTGACCCATGACTGAGTCATATAGGAGAGTGGTGAGGACAATAGCTCTATACATTCTGATCTTAGTGCTCCTCTTCAGGTGTCTGTTGTACTACACACGTTTGTACAGTCAATCTGCCAAATGCAATGCTCACCGTTGCCAGTCTGTTGTTGATCTCCTTGTCGATCCCAGCATCTGACATGATGGTACATCCAAGATAGGTAAACCAATGAAATGCTTTCAGCTCAGTTGCACCAGTGATGATGCAGGGAGGGCAGTACTCACCCTGAGATCCAGCCACTATATAGACATCAGTAAAGGACAAGTGGCACTTGGTCTGGAGATCGTTTTAAAATGTGAAACTGATAGGACTAAAGACTGCATGGTAACTATGTCCATGCTCTCTATGATTTTTAAACATGTTATCCCAAGGAAGGCAATAAAGCCACTAGGATGCAAGAGGGTATTGAGTGTTAGAGAATATAAGAAAAACTGCTATTAAGGAGAGAGGACACTAAAAGAATAAGAATTAAGACAGAAGATAATGACTGACATATATCTATAAATGTCATCTCTGGAAATTACCAAAACTTAAGCAATATAAATATTATTTTTTGTCTTAACAACCTTTATAAATTGGGTTTTTGCAAAACACTTTCAAATTCTGCAACACTTTTCCACTCTTGCATCGCAAAGATTCTATCAAAGTTGGATGGACGTAGCAAAAGTGGAGCCAGAATTCAGATTTGCTTTTTCCATAAAAAAAAAAAAACAAAACAAAAAAAAAAAAAAAAAAAAACTAAAGAGAAAACAGACTAGCATTTAAAAATAAGATATAAATAGAGCAAATATAGCTGGAGAATTATTAGAAATGGTGCTGGTCGAGTCGGGGGGTGGGGGGGGTGATAGCATTAGTTAAAATAAGTAACTGGAATTGTTTTTTTATCAAGTTGTTTTGACACGGAAAGCAGTTCGCAAAAATCAAACATCCATGCGTCAGATTACAAATCAGGATAATGGAAGACGAGAAGAAAGCAGAAGTTGGGAGTAAAGATTGGGGTGGGAAAGATCGAAAGAAAAAGAAAAGTTGACAGAGTTGGTCTGGACGAAGGAATCCGAAGATAGCTAGGGGGTTAGTCAGAAAAACAAGAGTTTTTAATCTGTGAGATTGCAAGAAAGTAAATCAGGAAGAATAGAAGATTGTTTTAAATGATTGGCTGCAGATGCAATGGCTAGAGATCATTACAGTTGAAAAACATTAATAACAATAATCATAATAATAATGATGATAATTGTAAATGAAAAATAAGTATAGTCTGAGTTTATTAAATGGGCTTATATTTATATACAAATAGAGAAACCGAATCCAAAATATTGTATGACCATATTACACTTACACACATATATACTACAATTGTACACACACTACCATTTTACATGTACACACACATTATATTACACACAACCAAATTACACACACAGACACACACACAACCAAATTACAGACACACTACCAAACTACAAATACACACACACTACCAAATTACAAATACACACCTCACTTTAAATGTTACTTTTAGTGGATAACTATATTTGAGTAGACGTTCAGTTCATTTATTAAACAGTCTATTTATTTTATTTTCATCTACTGACCTGAATGTTCAAGAAATATATATATATATATATATATATATATATATATATATATATATATATATATAAAATATGCTACCACACACACACACATGTAAATATGCTACCACACACACACACACATATGTAAATATGCTACCACACACACACACACACACACACACATGTAAACACACACACACACACATGTAAATATGCTACCACACACACACACACGTAAATATGCTACCACACACACACACACACATGTAAATATGCTACCACACACACACATGTAAATATGCTACCACACACACATATGTAAATATGCTACACACACACACACACGTAAATATGCTACCACACACACATATGTAAATATGCTACCACACACACACACACACACACACACACATATGTAAATATGCTACCACACACACACACACACACATATGTAAATATGCTACCACACACACACACACAATTATACTATCATATTACACATACATTCACACAAATTGTGTGAGTGTGTGTGTGTGTGTGTGTGTGTGTGTGCATGTCTGTCTGTCTATTTATGCTAACATATTGCATAAGGTTAAAATTTTATCCAGAATCCATCCCTTTCACATTTCACCTTTGTTCTAAAGGCAAATCTATTAGATCAGCATCTAAATTTTATTTACAGGCTATCTTACCCAAAGTTAAGCAATGTTGAGCTATGTCAGTACTCAGCTGAGTGACCATTAGGGAATACCTGGTTCTGTAAGCTACACAACAAGCCTAGCAAGCCAGCAATGGACACTACCTTGCTAATACAAAAATATAACCTCGATATGTGTAGGTGCTTCTGGACTAATGGGTCACAAGAATTAGCTGGAGTTGAACAAGTGGTAAGGAGTCTGTCTTAGTAAGTTTCTGAAATTGATGTGATCTTTTTTTTTTTTTTTTTTTTCTGTGTTTTTAACAAGCAAGAAAATCAGGATCATTATTGTTATTGTCTTCTACAAATGTTTTCATGGCAATTATTCTGATGAACTCATCTCCTTAGTGCTTCGGCTACATGAATTTAAGCATGCTACTAGATTGGCAATTAGGTCTCACCATTTTACTGGTGAACTAGCCAAATGCAACCATCAGTTTTATTCTAAGAGTTTCCTTACTGGCACTTCTTACCCGTGGAACTTCCTACCAGTTTCTTGTTTCCCTGCAACCTACAATCTTGAAAAAAAATTAAATGCAACATTAATCACAGTCTTCTGCCTTTCTGAAACCCTGACCTTTATTGTCCTTTCCCTCTCCTCACTCAAGTCTTCTTTCCCTCCTGTAACCACCCTGGGGTCCTAGTGGCATTATCCCCTTGCTTGAGCGGGTGTTGGGATGATTTTGGAGAATAAACTTCAATGAACATATTTTAACTTACTTTAGGGTAAGGGATTTGCACTTGAATTTGTTGTAAACAATGCTTGGTCTTTTTGGGGATTTTCTTTCGAGTTTAAAAGAAGAATGATCCGATTTAGTTTACTTCATTTTTATGGTATATCAACCTCAAAGGGTTATTTAATGCCAGCAAAATTTTTTAGGATAGGTTCATATCAATAGAATACATATTCTTTATAAGAAATCAGTTTGGAGGAGATCAGATTTTATTGAAGTATTTTTGTAAAGAGGGTTCTTGTTAATTTTTTCTTATTTTCAAATATATATTGCTAGTAATCATTTTTTTCTTAATTTTTTTTTTTTTTTTCCAAAAAATATATTGCTTGTATTTTGACTATAAAAACTCATTTTTTACACTTTCATAGTGTCTTGACAACAGTTTGGGGGTGAAATATTTGCCCATAGCTGGGACCCTAACTGGTGCTACCACCCAGGGTCAGGGTAGACCTGGGAACAACAGAGGTGGTTCCACACTCCTCAAAACCTCCTGATCAGAGGCCCTGCTGCCAGATGTAGTTTATCGTCATACCCAGGACGGTGAAAAGAAGGAACTTCGATCAAATCTTTTATCACAATCTATAGATTAGAGTAGATTTAATGACAAGAAAACATTTTCCTTGATCGTGTATTCAATCAGTGGTATTGTCGTCTGCGGTGTTCCATTTTGAGGCAACAAACAAATTGCACGTTGTCTGGGCCATGACAGAACTTGGATTCATCAACCCTTGAGAAATGGCCTCGGTAACACGTTTGGACAGCTGGAATTTAGCACACCCTCAGCCCAACACTATTGACAATCAGACCAGTGACCAGTGGTCAGTTTAGACGGAGAGTAGAAATATTGCAACTGAACTTGAATAGTCTTTGTAGTAATTCAAAAACTAGTTAGAAGCAAAGATGTTTAGATACAAATTTTGATGAAAAAAGTTTCGAAAGGTAGAAAGAAACAGAAAAATGTTGATTATGTAAAGGGTCAATTCGAATTAGTCTGTCGGATCTGTGGGGTAAGAATCTGAGCCAATAGGAAGGATAGTAAGTAATACAAGCTGAATGACTGGCGAGTTAAATGATGTAATTGGTATACAGGTAATACATTCTCTCCAATACTTATCAAGTAATCTAAGATCAAATATAAAACAGAATCTGGCTAAAGGTAAACAAAACGATTGCAAAATAAATAGGTAGTTTAAGAAGTTTATTAAATTGAAATGATTTAGATAATAACTTCTGATCCTCAGATGTATAGATAAAAATCTCCAATCTCTCAGTCTAACGGCTCAATGTTTGCTTATTTAATGAAATGCTCAAATTAATCTTCAGTTACCAATTATCTTTGATGGTTTCTATCCTTCACATGCACAAAAAAGTTCTTAATCATTACTTATCTGTATATAACATATTCCTTTATATATATATATATATATATATAAAATACCTACTAAAATGTAATATGAAAAAAATAGGAAGAGAAAATGTAAGATGAAAAAAAAAAAACAAAAAAAAACTTAGAGTTAATTGAATTTTTACCTGTCAATCAAGGTGCGATGGAGTGGAGGACGAATATTCCAACAGGTGGTACAAAAGTCTAGGGAGAAAGAGAATCTGGGAGAGAGAGAGAGAGAGAGAGAAGATACAATATAGTGAGGAAGAGGGAATGTGAGGACAGAGGATATGAGAGAAAGTGACAGAGGATACAAGACAGTGAAAGTGAGAGATACACAGGATACAAGAGAGAGTGAGCATGAGAGAGAGAGAGATAAAGAGATAAAATGAGAGAGAGAGAGCATGAGAGAGAGAGAGAGAGAGACAGCGGATAAAAGAGAGAGGAGCATGAGAGAGAGAGAGAGAGAGACAGCGGATAAAAAGAGAGAGTGAGCATGAGAGAGAGAGACAGCGGATAAAAGAGAGAGTGAGCATGAGAGAGAGAGACAGCGGATAAAAGAGAGAGTGAGCATGAGAGAGAGAGAGACAGCGGATAAAAGAGAGAGTGAGCATGAGAGAGAGAGAGACAGCGGATAAAAGAGAGAGTGAGCATGAGAGTGAGACAGCGGATACAAGAGAGAGTGAGACAGCGGATACAAGAGAGTGAGACAGCGGATACAAGAGAGAGTGAGAGAGAGGATACAAGAGAGAGTGAGACAGCGGATACAAGAGAGAGTGAGACAGCGGATACAAGAGAGAGTGAGACAGCGGATACAAGAGAGAGTGAGACAGCGGATACAAGAGAGAGTGAGAGAGAGGATACAAGAGAGAGTGAGAGAGAGGATACAAGAGAGAGTGAGAGAGAGAGACAGAGGAGATACGAGAGAGTGAGAGAAAAATAGCGAGAAAATGAGCACCTTATTTACAGGACAGTGTAAGTGTAGAAAATGGTAGAATGGCAATGATTGGCTTATCCTATGGGAGAACTGTGTAAATTTGAGGAAATGTAAGGAAATTAATTAGTTATCGAGTCTTAATCATAAGAAAACAAGCCGATAGTGTCCACCAGCTGTAAAACACCCTATGTGGCCAGTCAGACAATCATGACGGAACAAGAGGAAGAGGGTGGGAAAGAAGTGAAGAAAACAAATCCCAGGTGAAGAAGGGATTTTGAGACGATTGCTTTTAGGCACAGCCAATGCCGGCACCTGGTTGTTGTGATTGTGGTCAATAATTGGAGCCGAAATCAGAGTGAAAGATGACCAATAAAACAGAAACGTGTGTGTGTGTGTGTGTGAATATATGCATGAGAGAGAGAGAGAGAGAGAGGGAGAGTCAGTCGACTTAATCACTTAATCAGGATTTGTGCTTTTAATAAGCTACTGACTGACCCAAATACAATTCAAGGACTAGCCAGAATGTTTGCAGTAAAGAGTCAAACCTTGACTGGGGGAGGAGAATGGATAGTAGATCTTTAAAGTGTATTACACCTTCTTGAGAACAGAAAAAGAAAGCTACTGAGGATAAAAGCTGACTAGAACGGATCCAGAAACTCCTCATACCGTACTCACAATGCTTGGCCAATTGATGGTTGCTAAGGCTATTTAACCTTTTTTTGGAGGTTTTGAATTCAGAGTTGTTCTCATAGACCGGTTGCCACCCAAGGCTATAGGACCCAGTCTGTCCTGCCATTGATCCATAGCTGAGGGGTGGGGGTGTAGAAGAAGAAAGGGTAAGTGAATATAACAAACTATTGGTATCTGAAATCGTCTCTATGATTCCTAACTCGAGAGCTGCTTTTCACTGTATATCCAGAACAGAAAAGCCAAACTGAAAGAAAAGAAAGAAAGAAAGAAAAGAAAAGAAAAAAAAGAAAAAAAAGAAAAAGAAAGAAAAAAAAAGAAAAAGAAAGAAAAGAAAGAAAGAAAAGAAAGAAAGAAAAAAAGAAAAGAAAGAAAAGAAAAAAAAAAAGAAAGAAAAAGAAAGAAAGAAAGAAAAAGAAAAAAAAGAAGAAAAAAGAAAAGAAGAAAGAAAGAAAAGAAAGAAAGAAAAGAAAGAAAAGAAAGAAAAAAAAGAAAAGAAAGAAAGAAAGAAAGAAAAAGAAAGAAAGAAAAAAAAAGAAAAAAGAAAGAAAAAAAAAAGAAAAAAAAAAAGAAAAAAAAAAAAAAAAAAGAAAAAAGAAAGAAAAAAAAAAACAAAGAAAAAAGAAAGAAAAAAAAGAAAGAAAAAAAAAAGAAAGAAAGAAAGAAAGAATAAAAGAAAGATGCAAGGGGAAAGACAATATCTTATAATTCTGCTAGTCCCTATCTTAGCATGCACTTATGTTACACCCTATTGGTACATCACAAATAATGGACTTTTCCTTTTTGATTGTGTGGAAAGATGGAAAAGACATATCAGAGATGCTACTTAGTTTCAGAGAGAAAATGAAAGAACAGTGGCAAGACAAAAGAGGTGATAACACGCAAGGGACAGTAAAAATGTTTAGTGTCTGTTTCCGTGAAATGGAAAAAGTTGTCAATTTCAAATATTTTCATTTGTACCCCCTTACTTCTTAAAATAACGACCAGCATTCATATTCATGATTGTTATTGCAATATTTTGTTAAAGTTCTTAAGCCCAAATATTTGACAATGCAATAGTAGAATTTCAATGGATATTTTATTGTTATAAAACTAAGAATTAACTCAAGAATTAAGATTCATGAGAAAATTACAATGAGAAAACCATAAAATTTTTATTTACATTATTCAAACTGTTATCCTCCTTTACCTTGCTATATTCACAATATTTGGGCCATTATACACTCTGGCGTTCTTCAGCTGATTGGAATTTCAAATCAAACCATTTCGTTAACCAGGGTAGATTGTTCTTGTTCCATGTACATGACTCTTCCGGATGTCTCAGTTATTTCCCTTTAACTAAACTTTCCAAGTGGCCCAATTGATAAAGGCGTTGGTTAGATCCAGTGCCTAGACCCAAGGAGTTGTGAGTTCAATACCAGGCTACAGCAGTGGTGAACCAAAAATCATGGAGAGTTGAGTTAAAGAGACATAACAGACATCCTGAAGTGGCACGGCATGCGGAACTAAAACAATCTACTCCTGTGGACGAAATAAAGGATTTGGTTCAAAATTCCAATCACTTAAAGAAGGTCGGTGTGTACAACAGCCGAAATGTTGTGAATATGACAATGAAGATGAGGATAACAGTCTGAGTAATGTAAATAATTTAAATAATATAATACCTCATCTCAAGAGATATAAACATATTATTCCTTTCATCCTGATTTTCAGCTTATTTCCAAAGTAGCAATTGACATTTTATATATAATCAATCAAGTGCAGATATCTATCAGGGTAGTTACAGACGATGAAAAATGTTACCCAAAACCAAAAGTGTATTAGAATAGCGAAAGATGCCTGCCAAAAAACTAAGCAAAGAATTAAGACAATGGAAAATATCATAAAGGAAAAAAAAAGGAGGCTGAACTGTTACGCAATATCTAATCTACTATCTATATTTCTTTTGTTGTCTGTCTGTGTGTCTGTTGTGGGCGTTGTTACCTCGCCCAGGCCACATTTCTCACCCAATTTTGATGCGGTTTTCAACACAAGTTTGCAAATGGCTGCCAGAATGACATGACGGACCCGATTTTTTGAGTTCGAATCAGGTTCCGAAAAAATTGATAATCGAAAAAATCAATAATCGAAAAAATTCTGCTTACAGAAGGAATGATCGCATTTCAATCAAATTTGACACCCTCTTAGAGTCCAACCATTAGAAGTGTTGTCCAGAAGTTTCATGACCACGGACCTCTAAACAGCACAGAAAATCGATAAAACCCAAAAACCGATAAGCCCAGATTGCCTCTGAACCGCATGTCGGTTTTTAGCAAAAACCGAGCGGATTTATGAAGAGGCCATTGGGAGTCATCATGTGAAGTTTCAACTCTGAGCATCCACCAAACAGAGTGCAAATGGACAATCGGTCAACCCGTAAAAATGTTTTTTCCGTTTTTTTAAAGCTGATCATATTGTGTTTATTTTGTTTAGTTCATTTTTTCGTAACAGATTTAATGTTTAGTATAGAGCTTAGAAAAAATTGGCAGTGTGAGATAGGCAAGAAGTAAGGCATGTAATAACATCAGCATGGCAAAGGGCACTCCTCTAAAGGCAAGGAAGGGCAAAAATATTTTAAGTCAAGTGATAGCGATTGCTGTATTAGTCGGACAATTTTTGAATCAAGCACGGGCAACGCCGGGCCATGCTGCTAGTTTCCTATAGGACAGTAAAAGCCAAACAATTTCTTTATAGATAAAGAAGAAACATGAATGATGGAATGTTAAGAATACAAAAAAGAGGATGTGTTTCGGTGGAGGAGGGGTGTATTCAACATTTGATAATTTTGTGTCAATATGCACTTAAAAGGTTTTAGGTAATTTTGATCAACATTTCTTTTCATGGTTAGCAGTAAGGAATTGTAAATGTAGGTCTATCTTTACACTTGAGTAAAATAATATTTATTAAGAATTTATTAGAGGAAATATCAAGTTTTATGGAAACAATGTTGACAATTATGTATCGAGTTACAAAACAAATAAATAAAAATATACATTTTGATGTGATATTTGATTTGTTGTTAGGTATTTTCATTTTCTCCTTTGTTATTGGCAGCATTTTAGAATACATTGGCTATAATGCTAAGTTTCCTAAGAATTGAAGCTATTTCGTTTATGCTTTGTTTTCTCTCTTTTCCATTGTTGTTTTAGATCGCTTTCTTCTAGTCATTTTAATGGGCAATAGCGAAATTCTGAAATTTAGAATGATTTTATTCCATTTCAAAAATAAGGCCTGTAAAAAGGAATATTTTAAATTAATATTCGACCAAAAATAAAATACATTTGACAAAAAACCTTAATGATTTCACTATAATTATGTAACGATGTAATGATATTCCACAGACAAATCTACTGTTTAGGTTACGTCTTCTCATTGCATGTTTAAAAACTATAAACCTAAATTGAGCTTGAAATATTGTGTAATCGGATCTAATTTTTTGTAAAATACTTGGATATGATATAATGAATAATTTGCAGTGAAAAAAAGCAATTTTTGATTTTTTGTTGAATATGCCCCAAATGTGTCATATGAACACCGAGGAAGTTTTTAAGAGAATAGAAACTTAATAACTACAATCAGAAAGAGACAGCTGAGATCTGTAGGACACATAATGAGGACAGTTGGTGCAGAGAATTTAACACTCACAGGACATCATGAAGGCCAAGATAACAGAGTAAAACAACGAGAAAGAGGGATGTTAAAAGGTCAAAGGTTTCATTGTCGACGAAAGGAGGACACTTTGGTGAGTGATGAACACTCGGACCCTGAAAAGACTTGATACATAAAAAAGAAGTAGTCTTCTTTTTCCTTGTACGATGTACAAAACAAATACAACATTTGGTAGTTAAATCATAAAATTCTACTTTTAATCATTAATAGGCATTTCTTTTGTCAAAACCCCATGAATAGCATTTGCCTTTTAGTACCTCAGTAAACAATCACCAAGAGTGGGCTATTACAAATTCTTTTGTGAGGTGGGTGTAACAAAGGAGTTGCCGAGAGAAGGTGTCATTTGCCTGCCGCAAAAAGAATTCACATGGCAACATGCATTGTTTGTAACCATAAGCAGAAGTGATTTCAGTGAAATTTGAACCTGAGCCTCACATTAACCAGTTGAGGTTGATATGTTCAAATAGAATGAACGCACGAAGGACAAGACAGGATGTTGGTAGAATGACGAGATTTGCATATGCAAATTTAATCCAAACACACGGATTGAGTATTTTGCAAGATAATAAAAGAATGAATGCAATCAACACTGGGGCATTGAGGAAAAAGGTGCTCTTAATGTTGTTTTTAAGGACAGCCAGGGCAGGTAAGAAACTGACACGAGCGACCGTGTTTCTTTTCTTTTTTCTTTACAGTGTTTTCCTTTTGCTTCAGTAGGGGGGCCAAAAACATTAGCAACACTGTAAAACAGTTTACCAAAGTAAAACTTGGAGATACTGTTAAGTATTTTAAATTGACGTTTTTCTCTTTCATCGCTGAAGTGCATTACGGAGACAAACAAAAAGATAGGAAGTTCCAGAAAATGATGACAACTTGCATCCTAATAGAACAGAGCACATAATTGTTATCTCTCCCTCTTTTTCATAGACACACAGACACACACAGTATGCTTCCCGAGTATCTGCTAGAGGGGCAAACCAGTCCTTGTAGTGCAGAAACCTCAGGCATATCTGTGTTTGTTCAACAAAGAGCCAACATGCAATTTATGCTGAAACAATGCCACCTTGAACCTAGTTACAGTGTCTGGCAGAGACCACATGATCTGGAGTGAGGAACAGTTTGAATAAGACCTGTACACTCAAGCCCTCTGTCACAATGACTAGTGACATTATGCTAGGACAACTATTGCCGGAACTGTACTGTCTACCTAATTTCACTCACAAGACTTAGAATAATCCATAGTATGGTTTTCAGGCACCTTACAAAAGATGACACACACTGGTGTCATCTCCTTAAGGTGATATTATCAAGAATCCACCTCCCAACAGCTTGATCATGGTACGATTCAAATCTGGGTTTCCTGATTACAAAGTGTACATTGTAACAACTTGGCAACATGCTGATACATAAATAAATATACTGTATATTTTGGCAGCAATTGTTATTTTAATCACATATCATAACAACAGGCTTTTGGTGTTTATTAAATTTAATGATCTTTTTTAATGTATAAGCTTCTATTAGCAGTTGCGTGGATAAATGAGACAAATTCATGCAAAGTTTCAACTCACATCATCAGGAGAATGTGTGTGTGTGTGTGTGTGTGTGTGATTGAGTAAGGTAGGAAACTCGTTTTAAGAAGTAGGTTTTATCATTATTTTTTTTTACAAGTGCTATCTTTCAAAGTCAAGCATATATATATATATATATATACACACATATACGTGTATATATATATATATATATATATATATATATATATATATATACATATATACACATATATATATATATATATATATATATATATATACATATACATATACATATATATATATATATATATATATATATACATACATATATATATATATATATACATACATACATACATACATATATATATATATATATACACATATACATACACACACACATATATATATACACACATAACATATATATACATATACATACATATACACACACACAT